CTTTTCACATGCATTATAAGAAATGACATAAAACATAATTTTAAGGCTTTTTCTATAGTTATCAGATAAATTGTTGTGAATTATAATGGCCTTTAATGATGTCATTTTTTGACACCATAGTAACAGAAATCCCCAAATGTACAAAAGACATTATAAATGACATTTAATGCAAGGGGAACAAGAAAAAGTACTCTGTAGGGGTTTACCTATGGTACTTTGATTAATGATCTCTTTAACCAATCAGAGATCAGGTGCTTTAATGTGGCTCATAATTACTTTCTCCACAAAAGCTGGTTATATTTTCTCATTTTCTTTCTTTTTTTAAATTTAGTTCTGTGCTTCAGCACTATCTTCTAAGGTAGTTCTTATACTACTTTAGAAAGAAAACAAAGGCAAAGATTAACTTTTTAAAAAACAGCCACAAGTATTAAGCTGCCACGTAACAAATATTGTTTTTCCTTACAGATTGGGTGTATCCTCAATTCCAAATGTCCAAAACATACACATGTATATTTCCTCTCAAACTAACCACAATTATCACTGAATGTAATCTGAAAAAAATTGTCACATAAATTTGTACTTACATAAGAATACAGTTATATACATGTGCTTAGCTATTAAATTATACTTGTTTTCTATTACAAATATGTCATGAAAATATTATCTAGAAGTATAAAAGATATACTGACTGGGTGTATAACTACATGTTATCCACAAAATGAAAACAATATAATCTATTAAAATGAACTATTTTGTAAATTTTCTAGCTATACAATTATGTTCAATTGTCAGTAGCTGCATTCAATACAATCCTAAATGATACTTTATTTTTTGAAAGAGTAGAAGAAACACTAATATGCTAATGCTAAATTTTCAAAAACCCAGTACCCTTTTATTTTTTCTTGATAATTTTGTATTAAGATAAATGAGAAACTTTTTCATTTAACTTGCACTAATTATTAAGCATATTTTATAAGTATGCTTACAAACTAAAGTTTATTATTAAAACTTTATACTTCTATGTAAATTATTGATGTATTTTGCCATTCCCTTTTAGTAAATAATTTATAATTTCTTAAAATATTTATAGTTTTATATATTAAACCTATTCAAATACTTCAACTTATCCTCTATATATCAACTGCTACTGAATCAAATCAGATATGTGGCATATTTACATAGATTAATTTAGATATGGAATAAGAAGTAAGAATATTTTATAATACGTAATACAAGTGTCACTTTCCAGCTCGCAGCATCTACCCAAGGGCAGTGAGCTGCACTACAAGCTTCAATAGAATCTGAACAATGTTAAGTGAGTAGGGAAAGCCACTCCCACAGCCCATACAGAAGCTCCTAAGCTTAATGAGCTGGCCCCATGGTTTGGTGATAAATCAGTATTGTATCTATGGGAAAAATGTTTTGTTTAGCATATAAGTGCCTGTTTCTTTGTCATTGCCATTTGTTACTTGCTATGTTCTTAAAAATAAAAATCTACAGCTGAAAAAAAAAACAAGTATCACACCACTCTTGTCTTATAAAAACCTTTAATTTCTTACATATCTTCTCATACATGTCAAATTACAAAAAAATGGGCAATGTTAATAGCAATTCTTATGTTTTTCTCAGAAATTTGATTATTTTATTTCACATATAAATTGTACATATTTATATATTTTAACAAAAATATATTTTTCCCATGAGTTTTTCTTCTGCCTTTCCTGTCTTGTTGTATTTTTATTTACATAGATGGAATACTTAGAATGAAAATATAGGTGCTATAATCTTAAAAATATTGAACTATGTATGACATATGACAAAGATATCAGTGACTTGAACAAATGTACGCCAACTAAAATCTGAGAAATAGATACCTTACCTATGTTTTAAGTATGACTTAAAAGATGGCTTTCTTCTGAGCAAAAGAAAAACAGAGAAAAACGAAGATTTTAATCCTGAAATTAAAAAACAAAAAATACTGTCACTCCATAATTCTATGTCTAGCAAAATTATACTTCTAAACTTTGACTACAATAAAATACAAGCACATAAATGAACCTACGATAATTTGTTGCTAGATAAAATCTAATTCGTGTGGATCAGTAAGCACGGCTTGAAAACTGAAGGTTCAAACAGTATCTTCCACCAGTGGCAGTTGATCACCTTTGGCGCATGTCTGTTAATCTAAACTACAGAAGCTCAGTTGGGACACTCACTTGAGCCCAAAGTGTTGGAGACCATCCTGGACAAAATAGAGAGACCCCATGTCAAAGAAATAAACAGCCACAACTAAACATGTAAGATGAGGGCCAGCCAAATAGCTCAGTGGACTAAAGCACCAGCTTAGGCAGGCACAGACCGGGGTTTGATCCCCAGTATGCTGTGCCATCCCCACCTCTGTCCCTGGAGCACACTGAGTAGGTGACTGAAACTAGGCGTGGTGGTGCATGGCTGTAATCCCAGCACTGGGGAGGGTGAAAACAGGGGGATCACTAGGAGTACGATCTGTGTAGTGAAACCTGGTAGACCCCATACTAAATACATAAAAAATAAACATGCAAGGAAAATTTTAAGTTGAATAATACAAAGTTCAAAACACATAAAATTATATGAAAGTACAAAAAAACCCCAAAAATTAGAAAAAGAATAGCAGCAAGATGATCAACTTTAAATCAAAGAAAATAAAAGCATTGCTTAAATCTTAAAATTCCTATTAATGCACAGAAAATTTCAGACTTAAAAAAAAGGGAAGTGGCAATTATACGCTATTTATATGAAGGGCAATATAAATTGAAGTTACAGTAAAGGTGAAACCAATAATAAATTTATATACCATGCAAAATTAATCAGAGGGCTGGGGAGATAGCTCAGTTGTCTAAGTGCCTGCCTGGCAAGCACAAGGACCCAGGTTCGATCACCAGAACCACATGCCATGCTGATCCTGTGCCAGGCCCGTCACCAAAACCAAGTGTGGTGGTGCACACCTGTAATCCCAGCACTGGGGAGCCTGAGACAGGAAGATCAGTACAAGTCCGAGCTGTGTAATGAGACCCCCATATCGAGTAAATGAATAAATAAATAAATAAATAAAATAAAAATTAAAAAATTAATAAGAAAACTACAAAACATATGTTAATACCAAATGATGCAGACTCTCAGAAATGGAAGGTAATGAGAGATAAAGATGGACATTTCATTAAGATTAAAGAATTCATTCGCCATGAAGGAAAAAAAAAGCCACATCATTACTATGAGAAATGTTATTGAATCTTGAAATAGAGATAAGATACAAATAACTGTATGTTGATAATATAAAAATATATGAGACCACAAGTAAACAAAACTCTAAAAATAAAGCTTAGGAAAAATCTGTGTAGTCCTGTATTTATTAAACAAATTATACCTATAAAGGAAAACCTTCTTATGAGTCCCTTGTGCTAGTGATTAGACTGGTAAATTTTCTCCACAAATGAGAAATAAGTAATATCAATATCATACAGAAACACTGTAGAAAACAGAAGTATTGGGGGCTGGGGAGACAGCTCAGTGGAATAAGTGCTTGCTTGGCAAGCACAAGGTCCTGAGCTCGATCCCTAGTACTGAAAAAAAAAAAAAAAAGTACTGTGAAACTTCTCCAAACATGTTGTTTTATATAAGCTTTATACCTAATTGACAAGGTATCAATCACACAGAGAAGAAAAGCAGAGAGTATGTCTCTCATGATCAAACAAACAAAAATGTAGTTTGCAAACCGAAACCAAGTTATATGAAGCCTGATACACCATGAACAAATTATATTTCATCTTAGGATGTATACATATGGCTTAATATTATGAATTTATATAACTTCAGAAAAGCAAAAAAATAGAAAATGTTATGAATATAATGTATACAAAATGATATAACTTTATACATTTAAGAAAAGATAAGGGCCAGCTAGATAGCTCAGAGGACTAAAGTGCCTGCTTAGGCAGAGTGCAGAAGTGGGGTTCGATACCTGGCATGTCATGCCAAGTGGTGCCCAGCACTTGGAAGGCTGAATACAGGAGGATCACTACAAGTCTGATCTATGTAGTGAGACCCTGTAGATCTTGTATTAAATACATTAAAAATAAATGAATAAATAAATAAAATTGTAATCACATTTTTTAAAAAAGATCATTAACTGCAGTTAATATCATAGTGCTGAAATAGTCAAATATTTCCTTATGATCAGACATGAGAAAAGGATTCTTTTTTTCTTTTTTCAAAATTTTATTGATAAACAGATAGCAATGAGACAGTTTCAAATCAAATCGGTAGTACAGTTTCAATAACTAACACACTGCATATATTCTTCTTAGTGGTTAATTGCTGTACAAGATGAGGACTTGAGATCTTGTTTACAAACACCATTAGAACAAATCATTCTATTCATAAAGAGAATGTAACTATATATCTATCCTAACCACTTTGAATACACAGATACAAAATGGACATTCATCTGTATACTCCTTTTTTTCTAAGTTCCGTTATTTGAATATTATAGGTGTGTAAACTCAGCAAAATATTCTAAAAGAGTCCAGTAGCCCATAATAGCATTGGGTCTTCTGTTTAACTGGCAATGTCAGAAATTATTGACCTGAGTCCCCCACAGCACAACATAACACCATGGCTCTACTTCCTATATTTCGTCTTCATACTTTTCTACTGGATGGTTAAGACCAAGGTAAATCAGGACCTGTGCAATAAGAGTTGTAGCTTTTTGGTCTGATAAGGTCAGTGAAATGCCCTCAGGATTTATCCTGAGATCCTGTACCTCAGATTGTAGAACCTTTGTCAGTGTCAGCCATGTGGATGAGTCACGGCCATTGCTTGGCCAATGTGCTCTCTTTGAAAGCCTGAGAGAATGTTTTCTCTCCATGTGACTCTCCTTAGACACACTCTACATCATCAATCACTTTCCTCTTTGGCCCCATAATCTTGATCAGAAAATTTGGGACACTGCCGAGTTACATGATGTTATAGGACAAGTTCTCATATGCCCTGAGTCTTAATTGACCTTGCAAGGATAGGGCCAAAATTTTGGCGGTCCTTGTAGCCCTCCTATAACGAAGCTTTTGTTTTGTTTTGTTTTTTTTGTTTTTTCTGGAACCAGGGATTGAACTCAAAATAACTGTATAAATACCACGCAAGTAGAGAAATCACACAATGTCAGACTTGAAGAACAACAAAGGGAATCAATCGTTTTTGTCACCTCCCATCATTACACCCTCTCTTCCCCTCACAATTAACCACTAGTCTAACCCCTAACATTTTAAACTGATATTTAAGAAAACTTAAAAGTGGGCCTATGACTGTTTATTTCCTCCTGGAATGTCTGATAAGAGTGAATGACTTTCTAATAAATGTACTGACACTTTTGATTATGACTCTCTGTCCACATGCTAAGAGATACTACTATCTTACTAAGGAATATCTTGTTTGTTACTTACTAGCAACCCTGCAAGATACAGGCCTATGCAAACTGTAAGACACTCTATTAATAGATACTATGGAAGTCACAGTGTAAAACAGGATAAACAAAAATTAAGTAAATGACTCCCTTGACAAATAATATTTGCACAGACTACTCAAAATCACAACACACTCATCTTTTACTGTGTAACCAAACACATCTTATTGGGGGAAAAAGGTACAAGTTGGGGACTCCAACAATGCTTTCTTGATCTCCAAAGAACATGTTTCATTTTTAACTGGATTTTAACTTTTATCTTTTAAATTAATAAAATTTGGTATAAGATCTATCATTTATGGGAATATGACTTCAAAATACAGCTCTTTATGACAATACACATTTTTTTTGTTGTGGTACCGGGGATTGAACTCAGGACCTTGCACTTGCCAGGCAGGCATCACTTCTACTGAGCTATCACCCCAGCCCAGTACACATATTATGATTTGATGAGAATTATCTGGATTCCTCTGAGCAATGTAGCATTTATTAGACTTACCTAGGGTATATGTATAAGTTTATTCATATTCATTAGCATGTGGAATTATATTGTCTGGTATACCACTTTTTATACTGTACAGATTTTAGAGATGGTAAACTTTACTTTTCCTTTCTATGATGCTAGGAATTAGTGTTTCTATGTACCTTTAGGTTCACGTGTAAATTTTTAGGTTAATTATATAAGTTAAAGTAGAATTACTAAGTTATCCTGTATGTATTTCAATTTTTCCTTGCATAAGCTATGTATTATATATTTTCACAGACATCAGGATGAGAATACCATATATATCCATGCCCAAGGGGTGAAACAAATTCTCCTGTGACCCCACTCTGAGACTAGCATAAGCTACTGAATTGATGTAGCACAGTACAGAACTTGAGGCTGCCATTATAGCTGGGATTCACATGACACAGCACTACCCATGAGGGAGATAGACATGAGATCAGTGGAAGTCTACATGGGAGTTAATGTCAGGCTTTGGATCAAACGCTGCGCCTGGGTCACATACGTATGTAAGACTTACAACGCCTATCCAAGCCTGAATGCAAGGCTAAGAGAGGAAGGAAAATGCCAGGGATTTTGCAGTGATTAAAGTCGGTAGAGTTCTAGCCTGTCAGGGAAGACACAAAATCTGGCATGAAACACATACAGAAGGGGCAAGATGGAGAGGGACAGGAAAACAATATAAAATATATTTGACAAGAAGTCACCAGTCTACAATTCGTGAAATAAAGGCCAATTACAGGTGTGAAATTCAAGCAGATTAAGTAAACAAATATAGATATGTCAGAGGTAAATTGTTAGGAGCAAAATATTTTTTAAAAATTAAATGGGGACTGGGGAGAGGGCTCAGTGGAATAAGCGCTTCCCTGGCAAGTGCAAGGGCCTGAGTTCAATCCCCAGTTCCACCAAAAAAAAAATAAATAAATAAAATTTCCAGATCAACACAAATGAATTACCTACCTAAAAATATGTCTTCCATCTCAACATATTCTATGGCAATTAGAGAATAAAGAGGTAGCAATAAGACATTCATGTAGCCAACCCTGAGAAAATTTATCATTAGACATCCTAAAATGTTAGTAGGTGATATGGTAGTAATATTGAGTTTTTAAGATGTAAGGAAATGACCTATCATGGAAACAGAATTACAGGTTCAGAGGTAAGGACATTGGAGAGAACCATGTGCATAAATAAAGAAAGGCAGCTCTACTTTTGAAATACATCTGACTCTATGAAACAGAATGGTATGGGATGTTTTATTACACATGCTGACATATGACAAGAAAACCACAAATGAAAAAAGATTTATGGAAATGTAGTGTTTTTGAGGTTGTATTTACATGTGGTGATACTATGATGCTTCAAATTAGATGAGGACAGCCAGGGAGATAGCTTGGTGGTCTAAGCACCTTCCTGGGAAGTGCAAGGACTCGGGTTTGATCCCCAGTACTGAATGTCATGCCGGAACCCTATGAATGCCGTGCCTGCCACAGAAACTGGGCGTGGTGGCACATGCCTGTAACCCCAGCACTGGGGAGTCTGAGACAGGAGGATCACTAAGGGTCTGAGCTGTGTAGCAAGATCTTGTACCAAATAAATAAATAAATAAATAAATAAATTTTAAAAATTAAGATAATATAAAACATTAGATCAGAAAAAGATACAGATTCATATTCTATGCCCTAAAGTATCAGGAAAATATCACTCAAGAAGGTATAAGCACCTCCAGTATATGGCTAAATTATAAATTACCCAAAGATCTTTAAAAATTTACTTACTTTTTAGACTAGGCTATACCCTAATGCAGCAAAATCACAACGTCAATAGCTAGCACTCATTGAAAACTGAAGTTGCATATATAGAGTCAAATATTTAAGTGGAATAAGTAAAATGAAAACAAAGAAGATGCTCTTCTTTATACTACCGTTCACCTGAGAACAAATACCTAAGTAGAATTATTTGGCTACAGGTAAGAAAATAAAACATTTTAAGTAACACTGTTTGTAGAAATATAAACTTGTAATTACAACACAGAGACTTTATAATATAACCACATTACTGAGAAAACTTGGAAAAGATAAAACCTTAAAATGTGTTTCAAAGTACCAGGCTCCCAAGCAATTATTTGAAAAGACATGGTCTCAATTATGAGAGAATTCCAACTAGTGAAACCCAAATTTGGAACAACTTGCATCCTCAAAGCTTTTGCTAGTTCAAAATATGAGTGAGAATGAAAGTATCTGAAACAGGCTTGTGATCTATTTTCTCACTTTATTGTGATGCTTGAGAAAAAAACACAAAGGCTTGGTTGCATCCATACAATATGCAGTGACAGCACTGCACAATGATTAGAAGTCATAGAATAAAAATACACTGCACTGTACACCTTATATCTATACAAAAAAAATAACACTGACCATTGCAAATGCTGAGAAGGATACAGATCAACTATATGATTCATGCACTGCTAGTTAATTTTAAGAGGAACTTCATGCTAAGCATGCTCACAGTATACAAACAAAACATTCCAAAGAAAACATAGCTTAGCAAAACAATGAAACTTAGGGAATTGCAACTGTCCTACATCTTAGAAATTAACTGTATTTTTAAGCCAGGGAGATAGCTCAGTGGAATAAGCACTTGCCTGATCAGCACAAGGTCCTGAGCTCAATCCCTGGTACCACAAAAAATAAAAATAAAACATAAATAAACTGTATTTATAATGAAATCTTTCTCTACAAATGAATGGAGCTTTCCATATCATGGACAAACATATTCTTAAATTTGCACAAGCTTCTCCACACGATAGAAAAAGGAAAATGATCCTTGAAAATGTTTTCTTAGCTCCCTATAAATTTCAATAAAATAAAAGAAACTCAATGATGTACACCTTCCATCAAATCTTCACTGTTCCTTTTGCTGAAAACCTCCTTCTCCATTCCAACCCTACCACTGTCTCCGCCAAAACACAAACTGATGAACAAAAACCACAGACACTTCAATTATAATATTCCACGATTATGAATTTATCCATGGACACAGAACAGGATAACAGTTTTGGTTAACAAACAACACAAAAAAAGAAAAGTTAAAAGCACAATCTCTATCACAATAGAGAAATGGACATTACCAAATTTATCATCCAATCCTTTAAAAAAAACTCAAAAACTATATCCAATATACCTAACAGTGAAATACTACAAACTTTCTCCTGAGAATATCAATTGAAATTAAAAAATAAACAAGATTTCTGAACTCTTTAAATACTAACACATTAGTTTTCTAAGAACAATAGTTTTTACCAAACTATATATACTTATGTATTCATAATGGCTAAAAGTGAGGGCCGGTGAGATGGCTCAATGGACTAAGCACCTGCTTTGGCAAGCATAGGGATCAGGGTTCTATCTCTGGTCCTGCACATCACACTGGCCCAGCCCTGGCAGCATGCATACTTGTAATCCCAGTGCTGGGGAAGACTGAAAACAGGAGGATTGCTAGAGTCCAAGCTGCACAGTGAGACCTTCTACCAAATACATAAATGAAAAAAAAATGGATAAAAATTCCTCTATACTAAAAAGGCCATATTTTGTGGCTCTTTCCATATATTATTAGATAAAATGAGAAAGTTTTAGCCCTTATTATTGTCAGTTTTTATATTATGGGAACAGAGACCCTGAAATATAAATATTACTATATACCTGACATTTAATTATAGTAGAACAAGTTTTAGATGACTGTTACCATTTTAGATGTGAACCATTTCATAAATGGTGACTGTTTAACAATTTTATTTATAGTTCAACTTCATAATATAATAAAATGATTTTTGTTTCATAACTTGCTTATATTTTTCTTATTTTTCCCTTTCTACCTCTTTCATAAATATCATATCTAACTTATCTCATCTTGTACTATGTTAACATAAAAATGTAAAAGATTCTTAAAATTATAACTATCATTGCTCTCTATATTTAAAAATCTATGTATTTTTATTTTATATGTGGTATATGTACAAGTTTTGCAAATGGTAACCCAACCCTTTGTAGCAGTAATTATGGACTTCCAAGAGGACATAGAGAGGTG